TATATAGTCAAATTTTCCGATTAATATTAGCCAAACTAGTTTATATTCTACCAAGAGCACTATGCCATTACAATGACTTTCTCCCACTTAATAAGGGGTCATGTGTTTAGAGATAAAGATCCACTAACTTTAAAGAGGGAAGTTAGAGTAATTTTAGGTAATATTTTTATGATATAAAGGAGATAGTGATATTAATTTTGGAGGAAAAAATTAGTGAGAGAAAATAAATTATGAGAGAGACAGAGAAAAAGTCAGAGAAAGGTAGAGAAGTTAAAGTTAGAGAATTTATGCCTTATGTTTAGTAAAGATGTTCAAATTCAAACCAATTCAAATAATAAATCGAAAATCAATCTGAAAAATTAAAAAACGTAAAAAGTTGAAATTTATTGGATGTGTTTGTATGCTATTTTATGAAACGATTGATTCGGATCGGATTTCAGATTAATTTTTTAAAATCGATTCAAATCAAAGCGAATCACATACATATATTTTTATACTTATTTACTTTTTATCAGTGTGATATGTTACATGAATTTATTATTAGATGATAATAATTTTTTTAATAATATTTATTAGTTTAGTATAATCTATTTATTTTTATTATTTGAATCATAATCGATCACTCTCATTTTATAATATTAACTTTTAATATTCTATATGTTATATATTATATCAAATCTACTATTTATTAGTAGTTTTATATTAATAAAAAAAATAATGTGTAATTTGAATATCCAAAAACCTATTCAAATTAAACTGCATAAAATTGGATCAAATCATATGAGATTTTTTTAATATATCATCCAAAATTAAACCGAACCGCAAATAAATTTATCTTTAGATCACATGAAATTTTATCATAAAATTGATTCAAATCGAACCGCGAATACCCCTGATATTTAGATATATCACTAAAAAAAATACTGTGTTTATACAAAATAAAACTATTTCATATTTCAATTAAAAAATTAAATAACTATGAATTATTGTAGATTATTTAATAAGTAAATTAATCAAAATTTTATCAATATATTCTTAGAATATCTTAATTGTTTGATTGAGAGTTCGATTTTAGTAGTTGCATATAAAAAACATTATTTAAAAAAATTTTAATTCCATAAATAAATTTAAGTTAACTAAGGGTAATATAAAAAAAGTAATTCTAACTTTAATGTCAAAAAAGAGTAACCAAATATTTTATTGCTATATATTTTTATCCATTTAAATAAATATTGAATAAACTCTTCTATTAAAGCTGACTAGGATACACGATATCATTACCCTAAGATTGATTTTTTTACTATAAAAAAATTGATTTTTTTTTTCCCGAAAGTTTGAGATTAATTGAATAAACTCATCTAATTTTTGAACATACGTTAAATTTCTACATGTTAATTAATGTCTTTAAAAAGAGATCTAGCATAAATCATTGGTGTATAATGTGCCAATACTGTAAAATTTAGGCCTCTGATTTATAATTTATGTTTAAAAAATGTCGTGCTAATCAGTTTTAGATGACACTCTTTAAAAATGTTAAATAAAAAATTATTTTTTTATAGACGACACTCTTTAAGAATGTTAAATAAAAAAATATTTTTTATAAAAATTAATTATTTAAATTTTCAATACATTTGTATTTTTAAAAAATCTTATTACTTTAAATATTTAAAAATATTTTTAGAGTACTAATTAGTATTTCCTTTAAAAAAATATATATTCGCTTTTGAATTTTAATTTTAAATTCAATATTTTTTTGAAAAGATAAATCTCATTTTATTTCGTTTTACTATGATTTCACAAAATGTTAAAAAAAATAATTCAAATTAATAAATAATTTAAAATGAACATTTTGACTCCATTCTTTTTGAAAGAATTATCTAATGATGGTATTATAGTTTATCTACTTGTTCAGAGAATTATCTAGAACTATCTAGATAATATTATGTTTTTTCTTACGTGTGACTTATCTTATCTTTATTAAAACTTACAATATTAATATTTTATTTTAAGATATTATATTAAAATTGTTTGAATTTAAAATATGTGAATTAATTTGATGAATGAGGTAAAATATTAAAATTAGAGTTGTAATTAAATCTTTAAAAAATATAATGATTTAAATATTTTAAATTTATAATTTTATTTATTTATTTATGATTTTTAATGATTGTGGATGAAAGTGGTGATTTTTTTAGTCGGTGATAGATGTTTTTCAGAATGGTGATCGATGATAGACATTGTAATTAGTGTAATTGTTGATTATAATCAAATTTGTGATTGAACGTTGATGAAGTGGTGCTTGGTGATGGTCATAGGATGGTTAGACGTGGTCAGAGTGATGGACATAATGTTGATCGAGGAGAGTCAATATATATGATCCAAATAATGGTTGTGGTGGTTGTCAAATGGTGATTGTGGTGGCTAGAGTGGTGATTGAAGAGAGTCTGAGTGATTATTGACAATGGTCAAGTTGTTGATTGACGATGTGGCAATGGTAGTCACTAACTACTGGTGGTGATGCGTTAGTGCTAAGACGTAAAAGCAAAAACAAAAATCATAAAATCCGTTCAATTGATTTTGAGATTTAAGTGAAAATTATTTCTAATATAGGTAAAAAAACTAAATCCTTTTTACTCAAACATGTGTTTGTTTTTCAAATTTAAATTTTAAAACAAAAGAAAACGAGAAACTCATAACTAGGGATGGAAAACACACATGCCCCCCGTCAAAAGCCCCAAAAAATAAGGTGTTACCAACACATTTAAGGGTACGAGCATACAACCTTTAACTGTCCCGCAAAAAGTGAGGGGTAGGACGGAGCGGGCATGCAGACATTGCACTTTTTAGACTTAAAAATATAAAAATATTAATGTCCGCACCTACAAAAATTCACATAAAATGGGATGGACGAAGCAGACATATTAGAGGATGCAAGTCTAAATCATTGGGTCACTCCACAAAAACGTGCAGGCAAAACGAATATGACTGACCGAGCAGATCCATTTTGCACCCCTACTCATAACCACCCTAAATGTCACCATAAAGTATAAATTTAACTAATAAAATAAAGATTTGCATTTCTTTTTCCTACTTTATAGTATTAACATTTCTTATTGTTTAGTATATGAATATGTGTAATAATTAAAATAGGAGAAATGCTCAAGTTTGAATTCGTACTTAACTTATCTTTTGGTTGAATTATAGATTACGAGAATCTATTTCCTAAAAATGGAAGATTTAAGACAAAAAACAATGCATCTTATTATTTGAATTCGAAATGATGAATGCAAGTTTCTAAAAATAAGTTTGGATCACCAACATGGTGTCATATGAGTTTGTAATACAATATTCTCCTTTGAAAATTTCCTAAGTTTGGTTCTTAGAGTAACGTATCTGAGAGCCACCCTGACTATGTATAAAAATGAAACAAATGTTTTAATGCCGACTCAATGATAAAGAAATCGAGTTCAATCAAATAATTCAAATGATTGAATCGTGCATTAAGTTTGTCAACAATTAATGATTAAAGCGATTCAATCACAACTTACACATGTTTTATGTTCAAATTAAGTATCATGAAAGATAACTCTTCACTTTAACTTAAGCATATCATTGTGTGCCAGTGATCTAAACTATATTATATTCTATATAATTAAATTGGTATGATATGATCCATCATGCCATTATCACGAGTTTTTGTCAATAAGCAATGGAATTTATCAATGGGTAAAAATATTGTATTGATTTCTTAGACTCTGCCACTATAAATCACTTTAACACAAACTTAGATAAATAATTGAGTATTATTCACTAATAATTTAGTGGACATGTATGCATCATTAATATAATATTGTAGTGATTAAGTATCAAAGTATTATGTTAAAAAAACATCAAAGTGTTATGCGTTTGAATTCAAATAAGGTGAAATATGTCTTATTTGGGCTTAGTAGTGGTTTAGAGAGGGACAATGGTCAATTTAACCAACAAACTTTGTCTCAAAGCTTAACACCACATAATATAGATAATCACAAGTTCCATAATTTTGCCAATTTATTTTTTCATGAGAAAATGAGACATACTCCTTACTCAAAAGTCATGGATGATACACATACAAAGGAAAATATTTGTTAAGGTGTTAATATACCACACATATTATAATTAATTTTAAAGAATTCAAAGTTTAAAAAAATATTACCATTAACAACTCTAAATTGTAGCAAAATTCTATCTGTACAAATGAATTTTAATTTTTCACATTCATGAGAAAAGTATATAGGAAAAAATCATTGTTCTATACATTACACATAACAGTCCATGTTCATTGAAAAACTTTGTTCAACCTTAGTGACCTTATAATCAATAGTTAAGTACTTAAATCTCATCGAAAATTTAAAATTCTTGATGTAATGGAATCCTCATTTAACCTATTATCATACACAACTCTTAAAATCCAATCGAAGTTCAAATAATTCCTCTAAATTATCCAAAAACCATGATCCCATCATAAGAAACCCTAATCAAAACCAATGTAGCTTAAAAACAAAATTTCTCCCAAACTACACAACCATTTACCACGCTTAAACATTCATTAGAAAGATCACAAAATAATCTACAATCTGCAAAAAACCTCACTCAAATCCATTAAAAAACCACCGAGATATGATCAAATCATTCAAGCTTAAAAGCACACCTAAATTTTCACCTCCAAAATCCATTCTCCTAAAATTTCCCATTTATGCCTCCTCCAAACGAAACACGCACCGTCGATAGTGTTAGATCCAAGGGTTGACATTTAAACTTCAATAATGTATCAATCCGCGTATAACGCAACGGACCAATCAGAATCCAGCATTTGGATGTTGTTCTCGTTTCACATATTATATAAACCACGTAATTTTCGTTTATTCTCACACCAAAAATTTCGCTGAAAGCTACAACGTCTTTCAAGAGTTCCATTATCATATCCATTCTTTTTCTCCACCCGTTTTCAAGTTCAAGCAATGGCGTCTGAAGAGCCCACCACCGTCGCCGTTGAGCAGCCCATCGTGGAGGAGCCGGCCGCCGTCGACACTCTCCCACCCGTTGTCAATGAGTCCGAAGAGCCCGCTGCTAAGCCCAAGAAGGCTCCCAAAGAGCCCAAGGCCAAGAAAGCTCCTGCCAAACCCAAAACTCACCCCACCTATGAAGAGGTACTTACTTATCCTTTACTCTTTCTTGCTCAATCTATAACCCATTTTTGGGATTATGTTCTGATTTTTCTTTGAAATTGTATGACCCAGATGGTGAAGGAAGCGATTGTTGCTTTGAAAGAGAAGACCGGTTCGAGCCAGCACGCGATTGCGAAGTTCATTGAAGAGAAGTACAAGAACCTTCCCTCGAACTTCAAGAAGATTTTGCTGGTTCAGCTTAGGAAGCTTGTTGCTTCTGATAAGCTTGTTAAGGTGAAAGCTTCCTACAAGATACCGGCGAAGTCCTCTGCTCCAAAGCCCGCCAAGAAGTCTGCTGCTTCCAAGCCCAAAGCCAAGCCCAAGGCTAAACCAGCTGCCAAGTCAAAGTCCAAGCCTGCTGCAAAAGCCAAGCCTGCTGCAAAGGCCAAGCCAGCTGCAAAAGCCAAGCCTGCTGCGAAAACCAAGCCAGCTGCTAAGGCAAAGCCTGCTGCCAAAACGAAACCTGCTGCCAAGCCTGTAGCCAAGCCAGCTGCAAAGGCTAAACCAGCTGCCAAGACCAAGCCAGCTGCAAAGGCTAAACCAGCTGCTAAGGCCAAGCCGGCTGCTAAGGCTAAGCCAGCTGCAAAGGCTGCAAGGACCTCGTCGAGGACTACACCAGGGAAAGCTGCTGCACCTAAACCAGCGGCGAAGAAGGCTGCACCTGTGAAGAAGACTCCGGTGAAAGCGGCGGCGAAGGCGAAGACTCCTGTGAAGAAGGCAGCGGCTAAGAAAGGCAAGAAGTGAAGTTTGCGAGGGTAATTAGTGAAGCTAGTGTTGTTTGTAGCGTTAGCTGTAAATTTTTCTGTTATGCGGTTTTAGTCACAGATGTTGTCAACAATTTCTGAATTTATTAAACTTTTATTTTTCATCGTTGGGTACACAGTTTTCTAGCTATGTAATTTTCCTGTTTTTGAGCTAAACATAAATGAAAGCTAGAATGGTTTTTAGGGTTTCAATATCGTGCTAAACATTATTTTCCTTTTTGTTTTACAATGCAATGTATCGTTTCGATTGAGCAAAGCAATTGATCTGTGGTTTTCGTCATCAAGTTTTCCAGATCAAGATTATTTCCTTTCATTTTATGGTTAATTTCTAAATCTTGGATAAATAATTTTAGAAATTGAATGGATCTGGTTTTCGTTATTGATTGATTTCAGATCTAGAACGATACATTTTGTGTAGTGTTTGAAAAGAAACCCTAAATCTTGTTTTATGATTTTGCATATAGAATGAATTTGTGTTTTTATCGGTGAATTTTATTTGGATCCTGATCTTTTTTATTTATTGATCTTCGGTTTAGTTTTTTTTTTTTTTTTGACTTTGGTTGCATTACTCTATAATTGAATAGAATAGATCTGGTTTTTTCCCATTGATTTACTTGAATCTCGTTTGTCGTACTGACCTATTCGATTTGGTATAAATCCCTAAATTTGGATTGTGACATGGAAAGAATCATTTGGTTGTGGTTGAATTTATTTAGATCTATTATCTATATGCATCTTTGGTATAAAATCCCAAACGTTGGTTTTATGAAGATCCCTCTTTGGTTCTTGCTGCTTCCTTGCTTTGTTAAACATACATTGTTGATTTTCTTTCAAGGGATTTACTTGTATACTGGAGTTTCAATGGTTGATTTCAAGAAATGATTCAAGGGAGTATTAAATCTGTGCCTCATTTTCAGCTTTTTTGATGTTATCTAATTTAATACTTTGAGAATTTAAAGCTAGGGTTTTTTATTTGGGGATTCATCTGAAGCATGTGGTTGATCTGAACATGTTAGATGTTTTTTTTTTGTTGTTGACTGGAACGTGCTTGATATGTAGTCTCAATGAAATTATTGAACAGGTGAGCATTAAGGACATGTAAGCACATGTTAGCATGCTACAAACCACTAGAGATTGTGCATGTTGTCTAAGCCTTTTGCATGTAGATAAAAGCTGGAAAAACTATAGCATTTAGCAAAGCTGCTTGAGATGTTTTGGCGATAATGTGGGCTACTCATGCTTTGTTTCTGTGCTTAGAATGATGTGAAGCATGGTTGTCAAAACTGTGTTTCTTTGCAGATGCTTTTTTCGATTGGAAATAGCTGATAATAATGGTTTGTTCAAATTCTGCTATGCTATGGCACCATTGGCGCCACTATTAACAGCACTGCTTGCAGGATTGAATAATCTCTCCACATGGAGCCTTAATGAATTGGGCGACCAGACTTGAAGTTTGTGAGTTACCTTGTATTATCTGTTTCTGTTTTGTTTGCTCCTTTGATGTCTTTATTCATGTCTTGCCCACCGTTTAGTAATTAGACTGTTTACTTGCAGTGTCGTAATTTTACGGGTTTTAAGAACTTATGTCTCTTAGTCTAGGCTATTTTCTTCTTGGAAGTGCAACGGTGAGAGTTATAGTCATGTTTAGAGTTGCATTCTCCTGGAAGTAAGTTATTAGGCTGTTTTCTTTAGTAATTAACCTTTCATAATCACAATTTGCCCGACCATTCTATGAATCTCATTATATTTAGAGCTTTGCAACACCATGTTGTCCTTTTACTAGTACTTATGTTATGCCGTTATACACTGAGTTGTTAAATTTTCCGAGGATGATTTAAGGCCGTGTTTTCTTATCTATCTTATTTTATATGCATATATGAATATGTTCGGTTATACTTATATATTTTTTCAGATAGGATATTACTGTCCATGTTATAGTCCCTGTTTTCAGTGCAGTAAATCTGCTTCAAATGTTTTGGCCGCTTCCCCATTTACATGTTCCTTTTTTAAACTGATTTTGAAGATTTGACAATTCAGAGGTCAAATATTTGGGTTCAAATTGCCTTTAATTTAATTCACTGCATAGTATATTAACTACAACCTTTTAAACAACTAATTTAAGTTCTCTGGTTTCTTTGATACGTCCTTTGTCCAACTTGCCGAAGCTTTTACTTGACTTGTTTTTTTTTATAGGAATATGCAGTTTTCAAATTATTTAGCGTGTAATCTTTCGGTGCTCAAAATGTTATACAAGAAATTGCTCCCATTTTTCTTTATGTTGTTTCCAAAAGTTTAGGGTTAGAGTGATGTGAAGCAAGGTTATCAAATTGTATTTTTCTACATAGGTTCAGATGCACAAAAGATCACACTCTGGCTGGAACAACGTGGGAATTCGCCACGCGGATGGGTTAAGGACCTATTCTGAACCAGTATTGTCAATTTTCCGTGATGGAATTACGGCATGGCAGATTCTATGCTGTCTGTCTTGGGCTGCAATGCTTATTATACCCACCTTCTTAAACTGTCATACGTCATTAATAAGACTGAACCGTCAGCTTGTCATGTCTCAGTTTGTTAATCACTGTTTATCATCATCTCAATCTGGTGGTTCAAGCTCTCCTGTAAATACTCCTTTGGTGTCTAAACCTCAGTTTCTGAAGTGTTCCTCTTATTCCTCGTACCAGATTTAAGTTTGTGAGGGTTCTCGTTGGTCAGATACTTCAAATTCCTGACTCCCTATTTTTCTCTTCCTGTTACCTCTCTACTTTCATGTTTTTCATCTAGTAGTTAAATTTAAGGAATTTCTTGGAGTTGTTTATGAGTCGTTAAATTCTAGCTTAAGGTTAAGTTTTGACTGAGTTTCATGGGGCCCCATTTTAAATTTGAGTAGATTCAAATATTACATGCGACTCAGAGTTTACTTATAGGTTTCTTCGGTTCTTTATTTACATTATTAAATGCGACTCAGAGTTTACTTAAATAGATGTTTAAGAAAAATCTAACGCATGATCTTATGATCTGAGTTATAGTCCATTCCTTGAAAGGATCTTGATTTTGATAAATTAATGTGAAGCTATTAGCGCGGTTCTGTTTTTGCTGGATGGAACTTCTTTTGGAATTATGATTAATTGCATTACTAATTTTGTTGATGCCAATTTGTTATTCCTAACTTTTGCAGATGTCATGTTTAACTTATCCCCATCTTCAATTCTTCTTGGTGCTTACCTGTATCAATGGACTGGTGTATGTATCACTGTTTTCTTGGAATGGAATTACTAATAACTATTGATCTATTCAATATGATTTTCTCTGATGGTAGTTGCGTTGAAAGTTCTGGGAAAATGAAATGAAAAAGAAATTGTAGTTGTGCATGTCAGCTGTTAGTGTTACTGCTGAATGCATTTAGATCCCTCTGAAATGAAAGATTGTGTTGAAGACAGTAAATGGTAGTTAGATGACCAGAAATAATTAAATTAATGAACCAGGGGCAAGCTTTGTCATTAATTGTTGTGGATATCTACTGAGTTATTATGGTAGCGTTTTGGTTTGTGACTTGAATGGTTAAAATTGCGAATACTGTGATCTATGTTTTTGGAAGTTTTGCGTCTATTTGGAAAAAAATCTTGCACAATCAGAACCATATGTGTTTAGACGGTTTAAACAATTATAATTCATAACTGTTGATTGGTAAACATATAATCAAGTTTTCTTGTAAGCTGAGAAAACAGGTGTAAGAGTGGGTTTCAAGTCATCCTTTGAGAAAACTGTTTTTTCTTATAAGAAGTTTGGATTAGTTAGGCTATATGATTTAAATAAGGCAATGAAAGAAATGATATGATAAATCAGGAGTTGAGATTAAATGATAGATCAAGGTGCTCAATTAAAACATTTACTAGTATAATGTCAGGACTATTGTTACAATGAGGTGTTATTTTGCAGGGTACTACTGCCAGCGAGCGACCCAACAAACAGGTGTTACAATACAGCAAAATTGAGGTGCAGTGTGGCATGTTGCACTATATGTAACACTGGCCTGGAATTAGTAGGGAGCGCAGATGTTTTGGCAGTTGGTTTTCCTTAATTAATGATTGGAAAAGTCAAAGAATCTATGATGCCCATACATAAGGTAAGGCATACATGAAAATACAACACAATCTCTCTCTTTATGAAGTACAATTTATTACTATATTTCTATCTAATATCATAAAATTATGGTGGAGTGAAATGGTATAGCCGTAGAAAAAAGTTTTAATGTATCTGATATATTTGGTAGTTACTTGAACTATTGTTCTTTTATGCACGGTGTTGTTAAATTGCAGCGCTAAGCGCTATTGCATAACAGACTTTGAACAAATTATTATTGTCCCGCAGTACTCTATTTAGTATAAGATTTTGTTAAAAAGCGGTGCTATAAGCGCTATTGCATAACAGGCTTTTAACAAATTATTATTGTCGCAGAATACTCTATTTAATAAGGAATTTTGTTAAAAAGCAGTGTTATAACAATGTTGGGTAGCAGAACTTGAGCATAGCTCCGCTGCTGTGTTGCAGAGTTTTGATCGAAGCTGACATAGCTTTGCTGCTGTGTTGTTGAAAATATGCATGAATTTTTTCCTAAAGCATCCATGAGCTTTTACAACCAATAACGCGACAAAAGCATATCACGAGAGATGGCTGATTGTAACCACACAAGGAGTATTTGATCTCGTTGTTCCCAAACTTTGAATGCAGGGGAAGTGCGATTGTGATTTACGTCATCAAGTGACATAAATTTCACTGGAATTTGATGATTTAGTAATAAGTGGTGAAGTTTATAGGTTCAACCTATTGACACCACAAGAGAGAGTTTTCTGAGTCAAAGTTTTTCAGAAATGGCAGAGATCGAGTGTTTGCACTTTGGGGAAGAAAATTCAATGCGCTGCACTGGGGTGGGAAGACTGGGGCCTATGCACTGTAGGGTGCTTCTACTGATACCATGTTAGAATTCTAAATTTTCAAGAGATTGATGAGAGAATTCTCAACTGAATTCTCTTGATTTTTCTGTTATTCTATTTTGCAATCATATCCCCTAGAGTCAATCCTAGACTCCTAATTGCTCATGCAGAACGTAAAACCCCAAAACATGTTCCATTTAATCTTACTTGGCTAGTTGCTATGAACACCCAATTGTTATACTCCAAATTTGTCCAAATCAAACTCAATGATTATATTATTACTGTATTTCTAACTTTTAATCTTATTGTCTAATTTGCTTATTTTTTATTTTTATTTTAATGAGGGTTTAAAATCTAAGGAGTGGGGTGTATTTCTAGTATAAGGGGTTTATTTCTAAATCAGAAGCCCATTAAATTTTTTTGCCTTATTTTAAATAGTAGAGTGGTGTGTTTTAAATAAAGGGATGTTACAACATTAGACTGACCCATTAAGGTTAAGGCCCGCTCAAAGTAAGGGAGGGGGTGTAATTTTGTTTCAAAGGTGTATTTTGTTTCAAAGGTGTATTTTTAGACTCGTCCATTTCAATTGTTATGGCCTGATTAAAAGATCAAAGGGGTGTATGTTTTGAAGTGGTGTGTAGGTTTTACAAAATTTGAAGTAAATATGTCTGGCCCAATAAGTTGGAAGTCCATAGAGTTTTCTTCTTCTTTTTTTCTTGATCCAGATATTGACCAAGTTGTAGCGGTAGAAATGTTCAAGACTAAGCCATTGGATTGACTAGACTTTATACAAATCAAAAATAAAAATCGCCACCGCTCTTTATTGTTTCCAAAGGAATGGGAAAATAGCGAATAACTTAAAAAAGGGGGAAAGATTCAAGGTAAGGGGGTTGATTATGCAAAGGGAAGGTATTAACACCCTAAACATCTACGGTACTCCGCAGGAACCTCTTTGTAAAATCTGTATATTTTGACTATAAAATGTGTTGTATATAAAATGAATGGTAGAGGTGAGAAAAGAAATATATATATTTTTTTATGATTTTTGCACCCGCCGCGATTGCGAATCTTTAGTGCCTACGTACCACCTTTCGTGCAATAGGGATCAGGGTACACGTAGTTCCTCTTAAAAAATTTTGAAACACAAGTGTGTTGGTTAATTTTAAGAGATAAGACATCATCATCATTGTCCGTGTAGAAAACATACTTACTACCCACAATCATGAGAAAGGAGAATTTGCATCATCTCAAAGTGGAGGATATGACTTGGATTTTAAAACCAACAATGCCCCACTCAACACCCAAGTGGAAAATATCTCTCTTCACTACATATTGTAGAATTATAGTTGTTTGCATCACTACAAGGATTGACAAGAGTCTAATCTTTTGAGAAAAGTTTTAAAGATAAAAGCCAAAGTGGCAAAATGGTTTGAAATGAGATTAATTGACTTTTAGTCTTCTCACAAAAAATGTCAAGGTATTATTAAATTGATTGGAGTTTATTTATGAAAATATTTTGAAAATGCATGGACATAAGTCCAAGTTTATTATGAAAGTGGTTTAAGTTTCAAAACAAGAAGAGTTTTCAAAAGGAGGGAGAAGATTTTTGAAATTAAAGAAGATGGGAGGAGAAGAAGAGGCTATCCTAAAGCATAAGGTAAAAGTTAAGGATAAGAACCATCTAACCAACAAGAAGCCAAAACTTGACATTATGAGCCAAGATAGAATTCCCATTCTTTGGATTGAAACCAAGCAAGCAAAGATACTAGACCTCTTCAAGTGTGTTAAGTCTTCACAAAAATTGGGCAGAGTAACGGCCGTATACGGGTGAATTCCAGATTACAAACAAAGGATGTAATCACAAAACACTTGCACACAAAAACAAACAAGCAACTCAATGTCTTGAGGTAAACCTCAAGAGCTCCAGACAAAATAATCAGATAGGATCACAAGGTCTCCAAGATAGGTCAAGGTTTCTAATCCTAAGTCCAAGAAAAAGTCCCATGCTCTATAATGCCAATGATAGTAACCAAATAGTCCAAGTGCCATTAAAAGTTTTTTAGGGTTTATGTTGATTATTAAGTATGAAGAAGTAAAAAACACAAGAAGGGGGGTTAAATTGTAAAACTTGAAATCAAATGCAGACAATACGTTATTTTTATCCTGGTTCGTTTGATCTCAAACTACTCCAGTCCACCCGTCAAGGTGATTTCGCCTCTCTCCAACGAGGTCTTAATCCACTATATTCAACTGAATATTACAACTGCTTTAACAACTGCTAAAGCCTTCTTGAGTCTAAACCACAGACCGGTTTCTCAAGGAAATTCTTTCTTACAGATAAATGAATACTATGTGTGTTGAATGTTTTCTACAAAAACTTTATATCACAACTGTGATAATACACAAATTAAGCTTATGTGAAACTAGGATTCTATGACTATAGAGTATGCAATTTGAGAGATATAGCAAGCTGTATGAGTGAGGATGAAGATGATTTGCTTTAGGCGTGTAAAGAGTTGTAGAGCATTAGCCAATTCATTTCTCACTGACTTGTTTATATAGCCTTGGAAAAGATACGTTGTAGTCAATTATTCCATTTCAATGCCCATTACGTTCTTTCCATATTGAGAAGATCTTTGTCTTGGAATACAGTCGTTGGTAATAAAGTGTCTTGAATGCACAGTACCGTTGTCAATTAAGCGTGTTATTGGCTTTGGCTTATTCTGACGCTTCTAGGTGCTGATGATATTATTTTG